CAATAATGAAAACACGAGAGGGAGAGAGAGAGAGGAAGAGACTTCTAGTTTTTGCCTGTAATTTTTAAAAAGATGGAACGCCTTTGATTACTTATCATATATTTTTGGGGGCTGCAATTTGAAAAAAATTGTAGACCCATAAATTCCCACTGTCGTCCGTCTGTCCTTCCTTAATCTCGAGAATGAAGTTAGGGAGATGAAAGACAAAACCAGATATGGAAACCTTAGAGACAGGAGGCCCCGATTAACTATATATGAACTTCTGATACAAATCGAAAGTTACGTTATTTCAATTCAAAAATTTTCCCCTGAAAGGTGTTACATAGATGCCCTGCACGACTCTATTGGTAAAGAAAAAGTATGATGTACAGGGGCAAGCCACTACTAATTTGAGGTGGAGAACATATATTTTAAATGAAATAAATTTAAAATATGATTAAAAATTGCATCCCGGCATCGTGACGATGTCACAATAAATAATTGCTCATCTTTCTTTCATTTTTCAATAAACTTAAGATATATTGCAAATGCAGCTGTACAGTTCAGAAATTGTGTCGAATAACTTTTATACTGTTAAAACAAAGGTTGTTTAATAGTATCTTACTTTTTAATAGCCGCAGAAATTAAAATAAGTAAATGACAGATGAATTTTATAATGTACAGGCTACAGGTTTTAATGACTTTCTATTACTATTTATATTTTATTTTAACTTTAAAAAATAAATTATGTTTATAACTTTAAAAAAATAACTATATTCAAATAAATGGCTACGATTAGATTATAGAGTAGAACTATATCAAAATTAAATAAATAATATATAGACTACTTTTAAACGTACCAATACTTTGCTACAAGCCCTAAATATAAAATAAAAATCTTTTAAAATTTGTGATTAATGAAATATACAACTAGATANTTCGATAATAAACTTATATATAAAGATATATTATATTATAATAATTAATAAAAACTGAATTTATGTCAAAATTATCATTTAAAGAATTATAAACTCAAAATATGTTTTACCCGTTATATGTTTTTTTGAATGAAGTTTAAAATAAATTTTTAATAATATTTATATTACAACTATTCGAAAACCATATGTAATGTTAAAACCATTTCATTAATAGCTTTAAACACTATACAGTATATTAAAATCGTTAATTAGAGAGAAACGATCTTAACATGCTTCAAAAATAAAATTTTTATTAATTTATTGGATACCAAATAAAGAGAAAACAGTAGTTAAATACTGCATCTACTTTCTTTAATATTTAATTTTGATGCTATTCCATAATTTAGATTTTATTTTGTAGGTTTCTTTTATCTTGGGAAAAGTAAAAATCGATAATAGTTTAATAAACTATATTGATGTATTCGAATCCTACTTTTGTACATAAAAGCAAATAATGGATATGCATTTAAATTCTAACCTATGAAATATGATGACAGATCTTTTAATGCTGTAAATTTAGCTTTCCATTTCTTATATTAAAATTAATTTAAATGTTAATAGTAGTCTAAACTTTCATATTAAACTCGTACTCATCTAATTTTTATATAAAATATGCTGATACTAAATTGTGATTAAAAATCGAAAAATACAAACCTTGTGTACTCCCAAGATACAATTTCACATGGAACACCAGCTACTGCTATATTTATATAGACATTAGCTTTACTTTGAGAAGTACTAAAGTTATCACCTTCGATAGTTATCAGTGTTCCACCTTGAATTGGGCCCATTAACGGAGAAACCTGTATTTAAATAAAATTATATGAGTTTTTACATAAGATTTTATATTAATATGTAATAGATATAATTAATTACTATTTTTAAAATATTATATTAAAAAATATAAATAATGATTTAAATTACTTTGTCAATGAAAGGAGGACAAGTAGACGTGTTAATTGGTGGTGTTTCGCATTCGTCAACATGAGCGCAGTAAGAACCGCACCATCCGCAATGTAGAGGATCATCTGTACTAAGACACGAACCACATTTTGTATATACAGTGCAGGAGCTAATGGGATATTTTACTACCTGAAATATTTTTTAAATTTGGAAATATATTTTAGCTAATCCATAATAATATATAATCTATAAATATATTATATGATAAAAATAATTGAAGAAAGCTTTAATGAGTTTAACCTTAAATCTTACTTATATAAATATAGAAAACAATCATTGAAAGTTTTCAAAACTTAATGCTAATTTATACATTTATTTTCACTTATTTTCAATGCTACTTATAGCTTTAATGTTTATAGTAATTCACAAAATTATGACAATATTTTTCCATAAATATAAGTCTTTTCAAAATCAATTAATTTTGAAAATATGTATAAAATTATTGTAAATTATAATATTAGAATTTATGCTATAGTGGAACTAAAAGCAATAAAATTTGAATAAAATTAAGAATTTTTAACTTTTGTAGAAGTTTATTCCATCTGTAAGATATGCCTCTAAAACTATTATGATAAATTTAGGTTTTTATTTTAAATTATTTCGAGTTATACATAAAAATATACGGGCAAACGAACAGATAAAATGCTAATAATTTTTACTCTCTAAAAATTGTAGAAAAACACTATCACTGTTCAATTTCTGTAATATATATTATTACTGTTATTTTTTTATGTTTGATAAATATAAATAACAAACCTTATTTCCTACAAGTAAATAAATATTTTCATGTTTCTCATCAAATGCATTGGATGGTTTAATTTCTTTGTCAAGTTGATCGTCGTCTGCGAGAAGTATTGTGAAAAGTGGTTGATCTTTTCTTCTTTCTAATATTACCTATTAATGAAAAAATAAGAAGTTTAAAATTTTAGAATTATTTTTATGATATTTTGCAAAAATATTTTATTTTTTAAATGCAAAGTCAATTTATTAACTTGACAATATTAAATAGTTGGAGTTTTGCCAATTAAACATTACATTAGAGTTAATTATAGAACTTATTTATGATTACAGTAA